GACTCCCCTTTCCCCCCAGTGCACAAATTTTTGTGCACCGGGCCTCTAGTATACTTATAAAACTTATAGATGGTTTATTATTGTGCTTATTTGAACTCTTTATAATTGATAATCAGTCTTGCTAGCTATAAAAATCCTTGCTTGTGTATCTTAAATATGTATTATGTTTTCTTTTGGCATAAAGTGTTACTGGCTAAAGGGTCTAATAATAATTGAATTCTCTTTTTCTTTCAATCCAGTAATTTTACCTCTGTGTCACATCTGGGTTTATATTCTCAGGTGTGTGGTGTGTTGTTTCAATATGTTGTTTGGAATCTGTATTTAAGGAAAGCTTTCTTGAATACAGTTTTTGATATTCTGTTGTCTTTGGTTTTCCCCTTCAGTGTCTCCTATTATCATTTTAGCATCACAGTCCTCTTTCCACAGTTTGATTGCTGTTTGTCTGTCTTGTTTTGCAGCTACCCAGAGCTGAAGCCTGTGCAGTCCATCAATGCGCACCCTTCTAACTGCATCTGCATCAAGTTTGACCCCACAGGGAAGTACTTTGCCACAGGAAGTGCAGATGCTTTGGTCAGCCTCTGGGATGTGGATGAGTTAGTGTGTGTTCGGTGCTTTTCCAGGTAAGCGACTCACCAGCACTTGCCTTGGATATTTTATTTCATTTTGGGCGAAATTGTGCCTTCTTATTGGGTTATTTAAAATCTTCTTCAATTACAGTTGACATTCAATATTATATTAGTTGTAGGTATACAGCATAATGGTTACATATTTATAGAACTTACACAGTGTTCTCCCCAATAAGTCTAGTACTCCCTGACACCATACATAGTTATTACAATATTATTGACTATATTGCCTGTGCTGAACTTTACATCCCTTATTATTGGGTTATTTTAATCTCTCCTTTGTCTACTTTCTCCTTAGGCTGGATTGGCCTGTGAGGACCCTCAGTTTCAGCCACGATGGGAAAATGCTGGCTTCAGCATCAGAAGATCACTTTATTGACATTGCTGAAGTAGAGACAGGTGACTAAAACCTTCCTATCTTAACAAGAACCTTCTGTCCTTCATCTCTGGCCATCAGGACTTCTCCTGTCATGTGTTTTCATTTCTGCACATTACTCCATCAGTATTAGCGTCAATGAATTTGTCTCCTTAAGATAAGTTTGTTTATTACGACTGTTACAGTCAGGTAATGAGGGAGCAAAGAGTTAGGAAAGGCAGGGGCAGGTCTGAAGGAAAGTGATTTAGGAAAATATTTTGTATTTTATTAACTTAGAATTCTTTCATTATAATGAAAAATTTACAATACAGGAAGGTAGGACCTGTGGTCCCACCATTTACTAGTAATTGCTACCTCTTTTTAGCACTGTAATATATTTCTTTTTATCTTTTGCCTGTATGTGAATATACACATATATGTATACACACATATATATGTGTGTATATACATATATATGTATATTTGTACTTTAAGGAATCATCAAAGTAGGTGCGATGTGCTTTAAAAATAACAAAACAACTTGCAAATAGAAAAATGGGAGGAGTGTAATCATTTTATAAAAGAATTTCCTCAGTTTTATTTTTTAAAGTAGCTGTATTATTTTGGAAATACATGATACATTAGTAAAAGAATTAAAACTATTTAGAAAACTTCAGAGAAGTAGTAAAAAACTTGAAACTCCATGATTTAAGGAATGCCACTGTTGGTAACATCACGGGAACATGGTCCAGCCACCCAGACATGCAGCTCCTGTGATGCTGGGTACTTACCTGTTATTCTGGGGCCCTGCCTCACCTGCAGAATGTTACAGCTTCTTAGCGCGGTGGCTGCTGAGTCACTGCCACTTTGAGTGGGGTTAGAATTTCATTCTATGTGCTGTCTCATTCTGTGTGCTATCAGGTGGCTTCTAATTGTCGCACCGTTACCAATAATGCCGTGATGAGTGTCCTTGTTGTACTTCATTTTACTTATGTGATCATCCTTTTGGGTAAACCATTGAAGTGGGATTGCTGAGTCCTAGTTGTTCACATTTTGTGAAGGACCAAACCACCGTACAAAAAAATTACTGCAGTTTTGCTCTTAGCATCAGTGTGTGCATGTACTTGTTTTTCTCATGCCGTCTTTGTGCAAGTTTCTTTTAATTTTCTACCTTACCTAATATATGTAAAATACAATTTAATTCACAGTACTCTTTAAAAAAAAAAATGAATGTAGCTCTATTAACTTTTTCTAAATGCTTTAACATATTTTTTTGAGATTATTATTTTTTAAATTTATTTTTTAGTTATAGTTGACGTACAGTACTATTTAGACAAATACTTTGAAACATGTTGGATTTTAAACAGAAATTTTCTCGATAACCTCAATTAAAAATTAAAAGCAAGATATTAAAGCAAAATTATATTATTTTACAGCATTTTTATAGACAAATGGGAAACAGTCTAATTTCATTATGATGGACTAATGAAATAAGTTGTGATACATCCATATTACAGTGTGCCAAGAGAAATGGAAGATGCGTGAGGCATAGTACTGAATGATGAATGAGCAAAGCAAGTAGTCAGCCATGCATAGGGTATGTTCCCATTTAGGTAAAGAAAATAAAGTGAAGTTGGTAGGAAAACATTTAGAAGAACTTATCTCAGACTTATAAGATTAAGGGAAGACTTAAATAGTGAAAAAATAATAAATTTAAATTACCGATTATTGCTGAAACCAGTTAAATAAAATTAAAAAAATTCAGTTCCTCAGTCACCCTAGGCCTAGGCACATTGCAGGGACTCAGTAGCCCATGTGGCCAGTGGGAGCTGTATTGTTCAGTGCAGATAGAGAATGTGTCTATCACAGACATGTTTGTTGTATGATGCTGCTCTGTACCCTTGACCTGTTTGAATTTTAAGTCTTCATATAGTAGTTTGTAAAATAAGAGTAATACATGTTCATTATAGAATATTTGGAAAATGCTAACAAATACAAAGGAGCAATTAACAGGCACATATAGGTCCATAATTTAGAGATAATCATTGCTAACATCTTAGCATCTATCCTTCTGGTCTTTCTTTTCTTCTTAAATGCATATGTATTTTTTTCTGTTGTTGGAATCATATGTTAGATGTAATTTTGTATCTCACATATATATATATATATGTATGTATATTTTTATATGTAAATATATAAATATGTAAATATAATGTATCTTTTTTTTTATTGATTTCAGAGAGGAAGGGAGAGGGAGAGAGAGATAGAAACATCAACGATGAGAGAGAATCATTGATCAGCTGCCTCCTGTGTGCCCCACATTGGGGATCGAGCCTGCAACCTGGCATGTGCCCTCCTAGTTCATAGGTCCATACTCAACCATATGTCATATTATATATGATAGCATATATAATAGAACCTCATTTTAATATAGTCCACTTAATTTTCAGCTTTTCAGACACACCCATACACATTGCATCAGTCTATTGAAACTTTGATGGTCTGGAATAGTAATGTCAGCCTCACAGTCAGCACTGATGTGTAATCATTTTATAAAAGAATTTCCTCAGTTTTATTTTTTAAAGTAGCTGTATTATTTTGGAAATACATGATACATTAGTAAAAGAATTAAAACTATTTAGAAAACTTCAGAGAAGTAGTAAAAAACTTGAAACTCCATGATTTAAGGAATGCCACTGTTGGTAACATCACGGGAACATGGTCCAGCCACCCAGACATGCAGCTCCTGTGATGCTGGGTACTTACCTGTTATTCTGGGGCCCTGCCTCACCTGCAGAATGTTACAGCTTCTTAGCGCGGTGGCTGCTGAGTCACTGCCACTTTGAGTGGGGTTAGAATTTCATTCTATGTGCTGTCTCATTCTGTGTGCTATCAGGTGGCTTCTAATTGTCGCACCGTTACCAATAATGCCGTGATGAGTGTCCTTGTTGTACTTCATTTTACTTATGTGATCATCCTTTTGGGTAAACCATTGAAGTGGGATTGCTGAGTCCTAGTTGTTCACATTTTGTGAAGGACCAAACCACCGTACAAAAAAATTACTGCAGTTTTGCTCTTAGCATCAGTGTGTGCATGTACTTGTTTTTCTCATGCCGTCTTTGTGCAAGTTTCTTTTAATTTTCTACCTTACCTAATATATGTAAAATACAATTTAATTCACAGTACTCTTTAAAAAAAAAAAATTTTATTGATTTTTTACAGTGAGGAAGGGAGAGGGATAGAGAGTTAGAAACATCGATGGGAGAGGAACATTGATTAGCTGCCTCCTGCACACCCCGCACTGGGGATATACCCGCAACCAAGGTACATGCCCTTGACTGGAATCGATACCCGGGACCCTTCGATCCGCAGGTCGACGCTCTATCCACTGAGCCAAACTGGTCAGGGCAATTCACAGTACTCTTTCAGGAATATATTGAATGTAGCTCTATTAACTTTTTCTAAATGCTTTAACAAGTATATTTTTTGAGATTATTATTTTTTAAAATTTATTTTTTAGTTATAGTTGACATACAGTACTATTTAGACAAATACTTTTAAACATGTTGGATTTTAAACAAATTTTCTCAATAACCTCAATTAAAAATTAAAAGCAAGATAATAAAACAAAGCAAAATTATATTATTTTACAGCATTTTTATACACAAATGGGAAACAGTCTAATTTCATTATGATGGATTAATGAAATAAGTTGTGATACATTCATATAACAGTGTGCCAAGAGAAATGGAAGATGCGTGAGGCGTAGTACTGAATGATGAATGAGCAAAGCAAGTAGTCAGCCATGCATAGGGTATGTTCCCATTTAGGTAAAGAAAATAAAGTGAAGTTGTAGGAAAACCATTTAGAAGAATTTGTCTCAGATTTATAAGATTAAGGGAAGACTTAAATAGGGAAAAATAATAAATTTAAATTACCAATTATTACTGAAACCAGTTAAACAAAATTAAAAATTCAGTTCCTCAGTCACCCTAGGCACATTGCAGGGACTCAGTAGCCCATGTGGCCAGTGGGAGCTGTATTGTTCAGTGCAGATAGAGAATGTGTCTATCACAGACATGTTTGTTGTATGATGCTGCTCTGTACCCTTGACCTGTTTGAATTTTAAGTCTTCATATAGTAGTTTGTAAAATAAGAGTAATACATGTTCATTATAGAATATTTGGAAAATGCTAACAAATACAAAGGAGCAATTAACAGGCACATATAGGTCCATAATTTAGAGATAATCATTGCTAACATCTTAGCATCTATCCTTCTGGTCTTTCTTTTCTTCTTAAATGCATATGTATTTTTTTCTGTTGTTGGAATCATATGTTAGATGTAATTTTGTATCTCACATATATATATATATATGTATGTATATTTTTATATGTAAATATATAAATATGTAAATATAATGTATTCTTTTTTTTATTGATTTCAGAGAGGAAGGGAAAAGGAGAGAGAGATAGAAACATCAACGATGAGAGAGAATCATTGATCAGCTGCCTCCTGTGTGCCCCACATTGGGGATCGAGCCTGCAACCTGGCATGTGCCCTCCTAGTTCATAGGTCCATACTCAACCATATATCATATTATATATGATAGCATATATAATAGAACCTCATTTTAATATAGTCCACTTAATTTTCAGCTTTTCAGACACACCCATACACATTGCATCAGTCTATTGAAACTTTGATGGTCTGGAATAGTAATGTCAGCCTCACAGTCAGCACTGATTTATCATTCAAAGATTAAACTTTCCAATAAACTGAGATGGTGTTAAAGTCTATGAAGCCACATGGTTATTTGGGAAATTTTAGGCCTCTTCATGTCTACTCTGATTTTCTTGAACTATATAAATTTCTTTTATCAATCCCATATCAAATGACATGGAGTTAAAGGCGTAAAGAGAAATGAAGGAGGAATAGTACACTTTGCAACCATTTTTTGTGTCTCTGTAACTCAGAATTTTGCTCAGACATAGATATAGGCTGCCAGGTACTAGCATCATGAAAAGTGGTTAGCTGTCCCAGAAATAGAATTTCTCTCTCTCTCCCTCCCTCCTTCCCTTCCTCCCTCTTCCTTCCCTCCCTCACTTTCTTTTTCCACATACACAAGTATATATGAAACAGCTTTATGGACATAATTCACGTACCATAGTTGGCTATTGAAGTAGAACAAGTATATATGAAACAGCTTTATGGACATAATTCACGTACCATAGTTGGCTAGTTTGAAGTAGACAGTTGAGTGTATTCTGCATTTTTAAATTGCCACCACACTGTAAATATTTTACTACATGCATCTTAATCCTAAGGTTGAAAAAAAGTTAAGCAGGATTAAAGGAATAATAGCTTTAGAAAATCATGTTTAATTTCAACAAGTGGGAGGAATATATTTTTGGGAAAAAGAGCTTGTATTACTCTTATTAGAAGGCATTGAGATTTGGTAGATGGATCTGCTGCCTGGAAACAGATTGGCTTCATGTGTTGACTTCGTTGCTTCCTTGAGATGTGATTTACTTGTTAAGCCACTCGTTTCTTTATAAAATGGTGTTTAAAACCATTACCTGTCTTGCTGGGTTGTCATTATACTTTATGGCAATAAAGTATAGTCCATGTGGTTCATAGGATGCTGTGAACATCAGTGTCTGCTCACTGTTTTCCCACGGAGTGTAGACCAGGGTCAGAGCATAAGCTCTTATGTTAACCGGTCTGCGTTCAGGACCTGCTCTGCCACCAAATGACTTGTGACCTCTCCGCGCCTCAGTGTTCTCTGTAAAGTGGGCTAATGATTGTGTCTGTCTCATGGGGCTATCAAGTGGATTAAATGAGTCAATATAGCTAAGTACTTAATGAGTGTGTTCTCTTACTAATGTATTGATTGGTTTCTCTATATTGATTTTTATAGGAGACAAGCTATGGGAGGTGCAGTGTGAGTCCCCGACCTTCACTGTGGCTTGGCACCCCAAAAGGCCTCTGCTGGCATTTGCCTGTGATGACAAAGATGGCAAATATGACAGTAGTCGGGAAGCAGGAACTGTGAAGCTGTTTGGGCTTCCCAATGATTCCTGATTAGGAGGACCTGGCGTAGGGAGACAGATTGAACTAAAATTAGTTTGGTCTGTCTCTCCGAGTTGGTGTGCACCTACAGTATTTGTACATTGCTATAAATTATAAAAGTCTTTTTTACAGGCTGCCCATTCCAGTTGCCATCTTGTTTGTTATGTTAGCAGTTCCTTTTCTTTCTCTCCTGCGTGAGGGCTCTGCAGTGTGGGTGATGATACCAGCATACCTTGTCCTCTGGGGATCTCCTGTCCTGCTTTTGGGTACAGGGTAGACTTCATTGGACTTGCTTCTGCTTGGACACTACCTAGTTTGGAGGGTGGGTGAAAAAGGGTGAGGTGGGGGTCCTAGCCAGATAGCTCAGTTGCTTAGAGCGCCGCGCTGTCCCAATACGCCAGGTTTGATCTCCGTTCAGGGCACATACAAGAAGCAACCAATAAATGCATAAATAAGTGGAACAACAAATCGATGTTTCTCTCTCTTCCCTTCCTCCTTTCTTCCCTCCCTCTAAAATCAATTAATTAAAATAAAGAAGAATATTGGGGATGGAGACTTTTTAAATAATTAAATACATATAATTTTGAGAATTGAATAATAAAACTGACTTTTTTATTATGAGACTTCTAGGACTTCTTAAACTATGGTATTATGATGTTATTACAGGAAGATACTTCAGTTTTTCATTTAGAAAAAAATCTCAAGTAGAATGTAAAGGTGGTAATCTGTTATTTACTGTCCTAACCCAAGAACTCTGAAATGCAGGGACAGGGTGTGAAGTGTGTGGGCAGTAGCAGTCCTTTGAGTCAGCAGTTGTTTGTATGTATGTGTATGTCTATCTGGCCTCGCTCTTCGAATTTATGATAAACACTGGGAAAAGTAATAACATACAAATAAGAACTACAAAATCAGGTTAATAAAAACTCGGGTTAAGAAATAGAAATTAGAATAGAAAGAATTAAAATAGAAACATTCAAAAAATAAGGAGTCAATTGAATGGTTGAACTAAAATTTTGACTCTGCACTTCCCGGTGGCAAAGTGAAGAAGGGATAAGTCAGCGAATTTTTCTGAAAAAGAAAAGCACATGCCAGCTCCTCAGGGAGAGCCACGCTGTTGTTAGCTCTGACCTCCAAAAGAAATGGCTCATGCAGGGATTCTTACTGGTGAGTAATATTTAGATTTTTATTGTATTTTAATGTATTTCAGCATAAAAAGTAGGAATATACCTCAGTAAGCGATATTTGTAGAAAATTTAGAAAAAAGCAGGTAAGCAAAAAGACCAGTCATATTCCCAGCATTTTAGTGTATATGCTAGGAGTTTTCCTGTACTTATATTTACACAAAAACGTGTGTAGCTTTATAAACATCTTGAAGACAAGTATGAGAAGATAATTATGCAAGTTGAAAAACGTGTGTAGCTTTATAAACATCTTGAAGACAAGTCAAGTATGACAAGATAATTATGCAAGTTGCTCAGCACTGTGTTGGGCAGTATTATAAACACTCAATGAGTCTTAGACATTTTTAGTTACCGGCCATTCCCTCTGTGCCTGGTACTGTAATGAGCACTTTATATCAGCTGTTACTCAAGTTTTGCGGTAGCCTACTGAGGCTGGGTATTAGGGAGTTTAAGTTAATCAGTGTTACTCATGAAGTGACGACGTTCAGGTGCCTTCTGTTGCAGTGACTTCTGTTTTCACGTGCGTTTCCATTTTACAGAAGAGGAAACCATGGCTCTGAGCAGTCAGCTCTCGGCCTGGGTTAGTGCCTGATTGGTTGCATCCAGTCTTCAGGCTCAGTAGTGTTTCCTCCAGCTGCCAGAACAGCCTCTGCCTCCACCTTTCCGGAAAAATGGTCTTTTCAATTGCAAACAGCATGCCACCTCATTACGTCAGAGGTTCAGTGCTCATGTCACTGGAGTGAACTTCGGTGCGTTGTTTCTTGATTTTGCAATTGCTTGTTATTCCTCTGGTTGCTGCCATGTTTTTCCGTATATCTCCCCTTGGCATCAGAACCAGGTGCTACAAGTTTAGATTCTTGATATTTGATCGGTTCCCTCACATGTGGACTTTCCCCTTGGTTTTGTAAAGTAGTGATCCCTGCCGCCCATCACTTCAACAAGGGCTTTGTGGCTTTCAGCTAGTGGGGATGGGCACTTTAGCGTCAGGAAAACACCCCTGGAGAAGGAGCTCCAGCTCATGGTTACCTTCACCTACTGTCAAGGTCTTGCTGACATTTCTGTTTAGCTTCAGAGCCCTGGAGGGGCTCCTTGGAGAAATGACAGGATTCATCCCAGACCTGGGACCCCCTGTGGTTTGAGTGAGGTTTTGTTCAGAGCAGGAAGGATGCCATTCACAAGCACAAGTGGCCATTCATTACTCAGTAAGTCTAGGGCTGTCAGTCACGGCTCCAAACACCAGCCAACTAGAAGCAGGTGGTGAAGTCAGCCCTGATCTAGACTTCACTTGGCAGGGAAAGTCACATGTGCTGGGCCAGTGACCCGTGGCTGTGATGACTGGAAGTCAGGCTAAGACATAGGTAGTTAAGACTCTCATCTCTTTTGCTGAGCACCTGGATTCTCTGGGGCATGAGGTCCAGGAAGGAGACAACCTGCCAAATGGTAAGCTGGTGTGAGACGTATGTGTGTGCCTTGGGGGTTGTTTCCTTCACCCTCACCTGTCGAGGGTCAGGCTGTGCAGCAAGGGGTGGTGTTGGGAGCTAGAACAGGGCGTCCTGGTCAGAGGCCATCAGACCAAGGAGCAGGCTGTGTGCTCCATGTCAGGGGCTGAGGTGTGGAGTACCTACCACAAGGCGAATTGGAAAGAGGCCAATTCTTGAAGGTCCCAGAGCAAAGCAGTGTGCTATGTGTATGTTCTGAGTTGGTTGCGGTGTAATTATGGGTGGGTCCCATTGAAAATGACTAGGAATGGGGTAGAAACAGTGTTAATCTCTTTCCTGTGGCAAAGATGGATTCTAATCCCTAAGGATTTTAGTCACAAAAGGGACCATGGAATGTCTGCCCTTTTGGGAAGAAAAACGGCCCATAAATGGAATTAAAGGTAAGCCCTGTGTTTCAGAAGGGGAATAGAGTTCGTACAAATGTAAGTGCATTGCACACTCAGACATACCTGTATATAGGTGAGGCTTCCCTTCTTTTCTCCCTCAGACACTGGTGCAGTGGGAATAAGGCTGGCTTCATACTGGAGCAGAACTGGAATTGGGTTTCAGCTCCGGCAGTGACTGATCTGTCCCAGTTTCCTCATTCATAGAGGGGATGACGAATCCTTGTCTTTGGGTTGTTAGGATAATTAAACGAGATAAAGTATTTGTGAAGTGTCTGCCACAGCACCTGGCATGCTTAATGCACCCCTCCCCCTCGAGGAGCAGCAGCTTCTAATGAGCACACGGGCTGGCAGTGGAGACAAGTCATCAGTCCATCAGCTTTCTCGGCTCTAAATGCCAGAGTTGAGGGAGCCACGTTAATCATTCCAGGAGTTGGTGCTGTGAAGGGAACAGAGCTGTCCATCACACCCTGGGCATGGCACAGGTCAGAGGAGAGAGATTGGATCTGCTTTCTGCTCCCGTCTGGGCCCATGATGGATGGGTGCATGCAAACAGTGGAGCATCAGTCAGAACTGTACACTGGTGGCGGGAATAGGAGTCAGGGAGGGTAAAGCTCTTGTTTGCTGAGGTTGCTGGGAAAGGATGGGGGTGGGAGGGTGGACCTAGAGCAGTGGTCGGCAAACTCATTAGTCAACAGAGCCAAATATCAACAGTACAACGATTGAAATTTCTTTTGAGAGCCAAATTTTTAAACTATATAGGTAGGTACATTGTTATTAACTTAATTAGGGTACTCCTAAGGCTTAGGAAGAGCCACACTCAAGGGGCCAAAGAGCCGCATGTGGCTCGCGAGCTGCAGTTTGCCGACCACTGACCTAGAGCAAGTAGAGAATGTGAATATAGGGCAGAGGATATGTAAGGGGTGCTGCAGCTTGGAGCAAAGCCGAGGTGTTGATAGTGCCCTGGGCTGTGGGACGATGGTCAGATGGAATAGGAGATTGAGTTGGAGACAAAGGGAGGGAGGGTGTCAGGCTCGGGGCTATTTCATTTTGCACTGGTCGGTAGAGTCTCCTGATAAGTAGGGAAGAGCAGGAGAGACCTCAGGTCAATTCCTTGTTCTGTCACCACTAATAGGGAGACTGGCCAAATCACTTCACTCCTGTAAGCTGCAGTTGGCTGAGTTCTGTGATGTTCATAATAATAGTACAACTTATGAGGGTTAAATGAGTTGATATATGTTAAATGCCTGGTAGATTGTGGATGTTCAATAAATAGCTATTATTATTGTGCAGGTGTTTATACCATATCTGTAGTGCAATATAAACCTTTCTACCTTCTTACCTTTCATTGTCTCCTAAGCTTATCTCATTTGGCACAATAAAGGATGGGGGTAGGGTGGAATTTGGAGAAAATGAGTATTTAACACATTGTCTAATACCCATTTCTAGAGTTTAGGCTCTTTATTTTCATTTAGGGATACTAAATTGAGAACTAGTCATCCAGTAATCACCAGTTTGCTAGCAGTTTATATGTTTGAAATTGTTGCTGACATGGAGCCACCAGCTATTGAACTTCAAGGCACCCAGCATCTCAGCCTGTCACCCCTTTGGAGAAGCAGGCAGAGTGTGAAAACATGGCCCTAACCTGCAGCGTCATAGCAACAAAGTCACTGGGTGCTACTTGCCCTGGCTGGATTGTCATCGGGGCTCCCTGGGACCACCCTGGATTTGCCAAGAAAATGTTGCTCAATTCACCTAGTTTCCTTTTACTTTCTACTTAAGACTAGAATGTAGGTCAGGCGATGGCACAGATACAGCCAGGAATCTGTGAGAAGATTTCAAGATGTCTCGAGGACCAAAGGAGAACGGAGCTGGGCACTACCGGTTCCCAGAGTGGGGATTCAAGTCAACGTGGAGGAAAGTCCCTCCTGAAATGGGCATCACCGTGGAGTTCTGGAAGATGACCAGGCCTGTGATAATTGATCAGACGTATATGATGGGCTGCATCTCGGGTGGCGGCTGAAGGGCTATGCTCATTACTTAGTGGAGGGGAGGCCCTCTTTTTTTTAAAAATATA